TGGCTTGAGGCTCGGCAAACTGGGTCGTGTCCACGCAGGCAGGCAGTGGAGCGGCAAGACGGATGGCTTGGACTAGGGTTTGGAAGAAGGCAGACAAGAACCAGGAAGCACACAGGCAGAACTCAGAGGCAGAAGGCAATCAGGTTTACCGGGGCAGGAACGAGAGGACGTCGTCAGAGGCAGGCAGAGTCGATTCCAGGAAGTCAGACCAAAGATAAAAGCTGGAGAGTAGTGCATGCTGCAATGACAATCTGGCGAAGAGTGAGTGAAACAGAGCTCCTAAAATACTGGCAGGGTAATGAGAGTCGGCTGAGAGCAATTGCAGTACAAGGGGTGTGGCCAAGCAGAGGGAGAGACAGCAGCAGCAGAGCAGACTGTGACAGAACCCCCCCTCAAGGGACAGCTCCTGACGTCCCAAAAGGATGGACAACCAAGGGCGGGCGGAGGAGGCCGGAGGAAGGGCCTAAAATTCTTCTGTGCCGGACCAGTCCATCTCCTCAGCTGGATCGTCAGGGGAGCCCAAGAGGTCAGAGTCCATGTCGAACGATAGCTCCTCAGCAGGATTGTCAGAGGAGCCCGACTGGTCAGAGTCCGTGTGGATTGATGGCTCCTCAGCAGGGGAATCCCCCACAGGAAGATCAGGTTGGGAAGAAGTACGGGCCAGCGGGCGGGGGTTCCTCGAAGGCACGGTGGTACCGGAGGGCTGGTCAGGATGGTGACAGTGGAAGTCGGTGATGAGGTCCTGGTCGAGGATGTGGTGAGCAAGAACCCAAGACCTCTCCTCAGGACCGTAGCCCTCTCAGTCCACCAAGCAATGAACTCCCCTGAACTGAGGGTGGGGTGAACCCGCGTGGAGCGAGGAAGCTTGAGTCTCACCACTGCCGGACTGATGACCCTCTGGATGGGGAATGGGCCGACAAACCTGGGTGCCAACTTCTTAGACTCCTCCTGGAGAGGCAGATCTCGGGTGGAGAGCCATACCCTCTGACCAACCTGGTAGACAGGGGTAGGAGAACGCCGCCAATTGGCCGAAGCTGGAGGGCAGAGCGAGCCTGGGCCCAAGTTTGTCGACAGCATCGGACCAGGGCTAGGGCTGACGGGCAGGAGACCTCTCTCTCCAAGGCTGGAAAAAGTGGAGGCTGGTAACCATAGACACACTGGAATGGAGAGAGGCGCGTGGCGAAACTGGTGAGGAAAATGTGGGTGTGCTCCACCCACAGGAGCTGCTTGGACCAGGAGGATGGGTTCTGGGACACCATGCAGCGGAGGGCAGTCTCCATCTCCTGATTCATTTGCTCCATCTGCACATCAGACTGGGGATGGAGTCCTGAAGAGAGACTGGCGGTGGCTCCTATCAGGCTACAGAACTCTTTCCAGAAGCCTGAGGAGAACTGAGGACCCCGCTCGGACACCACATCCACAGGGCGGCCATGCAGACAGAAGACGTGGAGCAGGACCAGTTGCGCAGTCTCCTTAGCTGACAACAGCTTGGGCAGAGGAACGAAGTGAGCAATTTTGCTGAAGCAGTCGATCACCGTGAGGATGACCGTGTTACCGTCAGAAAGTGGAAGGCCCATGGCAGAGTCCAAGGAGATGTGGGACCAGGGTTGATGTGGGACAGGAAGGGGTTGGAGGAGTCCAGTTGGAGCCTGATGGGAAGCCTTCTGCTGGTTGATGATGGGGCACGCCTTCACAAAGTTGCGGGTGTCTTCCTCCAGGGTGGGCTACCAGAAGCATTGGAGGAGGACGTCTCGAGTTCGCTGGGAACCAGGATGGTAAGTGAGCTTGGAGGCATGGGCCCACTGCAGAATTTTTGACCTCAGGGTTTCAGGGACGTACAGGCAGTTGGGGGGACAGGTACTAGGACCAGGTTGACCCTCAGTGGCGACCCTCACTCTCTGCTCAATGTCCCAGGACAGGACAGCTACAACACAAGCGGAGGGAAGGATGGAAGCAGGCCCCTCAGCGGAATCTTCCCCCTTCAGGAACTGCCGGAACAGGGCATCAGGCTTAGTGTTGCGGGACCCCGGGGGGTAGGAGAGAGTGAAGTTGAAGCGGGTGAAGAAGAGGGACCAGTGGGCCTGGCGGGAGTTCAGCCTCTTGGCAGAGCGGATGTATTCAAGGTTCTTGTAGTCAGTCAATACTAAGAAGGGTTCCTTGGCACCCTTCAACGAATGCCAGCACCCCTCCAGAGCCAGCTTCACCGCCAACAGCTCCCTGTTCCCGATGTAGTTCCTCTGGGCAGAAGACAGGCGCTGAGAGAAGAAGGCGCAGGGATGAAGCTTCTGGTCAGAGGTGGATCTTTGGCACAGGACAGCCCCTTCCCCACATCCGAGGCGTCCACCTCCACCACGAACTGGCGATCTGGGTCTGGCATCTGGAGGATGGGCGCAGAGGTGAATCTGGTTTTCGAGGTCTGGAAGGCCTCGTCGGCAGCAGGGAACCACTGGAAGGACAACTTGGAGCTGGTGAGGGCAGTAAGAGGGGCGGCTACAGAACTGTAGTTGTGAATGAAGTGGCGATAGAAAATGGCAAACCCCAGGAAGCGTTGCAGTTGTTTGCGGGAGTCAGGAACAGGCTAAGAGGTGACTGCAGAGACCTTCGCTGGGTCCATCCGGATGCTTCCCATAGCCACGATGTACCCCAGGAACGAAACAGAGGAGGCATGGAATTTGCATTTCTCTGCCTTGACAAACAGGGAGTTCTCCAGAAGGCGCTGGAGCACAGACTGGACATGATGAACGTTCATTTTTCTAGTCTTTGAGAAGATAAGGATATCGTCCAAGTAAACGAAGACAAAGCGGTTGAGCATGTCTCGGAGCACATCATTCACCAGGGCTTGGAAGACTGCAGGAGCGTTGGTGAGACCGAAAAGCATGACCCGGTACTCATAGTGCCCTGCAGGGGTGTTGAATGTCGTCTTCCATTCGTCCCCCTCTCTGAAGCGGACCAGATGATTGCATTACGGAGATGAAGCTTGGTGAAGATGGTGGCCCCCTGAAGCAGTTCAGAGACAGAGGAGATGAGTGGCAGGGCATAGGGGTTCTTGACTGTGATTTTGTTCAGGCCCCGATGGTCAATGCAGGGTCTCAAGGTCTTATCCTTCTTCTCCACAAAGAAGAAGCCGGCCCCAGCAGGCGACGAGGAGGGGCGGATGATGCCTGCAGCTAGGGAGTCGTTGATATAAGTCTCCATGGCCTTCCTTTCGGGGGCATACAGAGAGTACTGGCGGACTCTAGGGGGCGAAGTGCTGAGCAGGAGGTCTAGGGCACAGTCGTAGGGCCGACGCGGAGGCAGAGAGGTGGCCTTGACCTTGCTAAAAACCTGCCGTAGGTTATGGTACTTGGAAGGCACCCTGGAGATATTAGGTGAAGGACTGGTGGTGGGACAATGGAACAGCGAAGAGGCATGCTTGAGGCAGGTGAGGTGACAGGATGTTCCCCACTTGCGAACGGAACCGGTCTCCCAGTCGATGTGGGGGTTATGTCGCCATAGCCAAGGATAGTCCGGGATGAGTGGCAGGCCAGGAGAGTTCAGGATGTGGAACTGGATGGTCTCGTGATCATTGCCAGACAGGAGCATGGGAACCGGGGTGGTCTGGTGGATAATAGTACCCAGTTGGTGGTCGTCTAGAGCTTGGGTGAGAACCGGACGAGGCAGAGGAACCAGACCGAGCCCCAACTATTGGGCCAACTTCTCACTCATAAGGCTAGCATCGGCACCAGAGTCCACCAGGGCAGCCAAGGTAAGGGGACCATCAGGAAGGAGGAGCCGGGTTGAAGATGCGGTCTGTAGTTGTAGGGAAGTAGTGTTGTCGAGCTCACCCGTACCTCCCTGGCTACGGGTAAGCCTTGGCTTTTACCAGGCAGACTAAAATGAAGTGACCCTCCTCCCCACAGTACAGGCACAGGTTCAGGCATCGTCAACGCTCCCGTTCTTCTAGGGTGAGAGGGGTGCAGCCCAGCTGCCCAGGTTCAGACTCCTCCATCTGCGGAATAGGTGAGGTGGACGATCAGGTGGAACCCGCTCTGGATCGGGTTGGCGTCTGGCAGGGAAGCCCCCTGACTTCTCTCCCGCCTACAAGCCTGGATGTGGAGGTGAATTCTAACGGCTAGCTCAATGATTCCATCAAGTGTGGAGGGAACCTCGTACGAGACCAGCTCATGCTTGAGGTAATGAGCCAGACCATGGAGGAAAGTGTCCACCTGGGCTGCAGGGTTCCAACAGCTCTGGTTGGCTCTGGTGCGGAAGTCGATGGAGTAGTCAACAACCGGCCTGTCCCCTTGTTTTAGGCTCAGTAGCCCCTGAGCAGCCTCGGAGCTGGAGACCCCCAAGCTGAAGACCTTACGTAATTCCTCTGCGAAGGACTGGAAGGAGACGCAGGCTGGAGACTGTCTCTCCCACTCAACGGTGCCCCACAGGCGAGCTCGGCCCGTCAGGTGATTAATCGTGGGGGCCATCTTTGCCTGCTCCGAGGCAAAGGTACAGGGCTGGAGGGTGAACAGCAGGGAACAGTTTGTTAGAAAAGGGCCACAGGTATCTGGGTCTTCGTTGTAGCGTTCAGGGGTTCCCATTTGAGGGTCTGGGGCCCCATTGGGTAGTAAGGGATCAGGAGCTGGTACTGGTGCAAGAGGGGCAGCAGGCTGAGCCACCATGGATGTCAGCTGCTTAAGTTGGCCGGCTAATTCAGCGAGGGATTGCCTGGTCTCTGAGGCTGCAGCTGACATCATTGCCTCATGGTGTTGGAGGGCGGCTTCGATCTTCTCGAGCCGGCTCAGGGGAGAAGGATTGTGTGCTGGGTCCATATCTGCCCAGATTGTACTGACACGGGGAGTGGCAGGACCCAAATGCAACACAGTCAAAACGAGTGAATCTTTTCTGACTTTTAATGAATTCAAAGCAGGGGTAAACAGAATGCAGAGCAGAGTAACTTGGTGCAGAACAGGATCTGGAGCTTGCGGATTTTGAGTGGAGCTGTTCTGGGAATTCGAGGGAGCAGGCGCTGATGGCGGGATTCGAGCCTGGGTCGCCCGCACAGCAGACCAGAGCATTACCACTGGGCCACTGGAGCAGGCTGGCTTGAGGCTCGGTAGACTGGGTCATGTCCATGCAGGCAGGCAGTGGAGCGGCTAGACGGGCGGCTTGGACAGGGGTTTTGAAGAAGGCAGACAGGAACCAGGAAACACACAGGCAGAACTCAGAGTCAAAGGCAGAAGGCAATCAGGTTTACCGGGGCAGGAACAAGAGGACGTCATCAGAGGCAGGCAGAGTCTATTCCAGGAAGTCAGACCAAAGATAAAGGCTGGAGAGTAGTGCATGCTGCAATGACAATCTGGCGAAGAGTGAGTGAAACAGAGCTCCTAAAATACTGGCAGGGTAATGAGAGTCGGCTGAGAGCAATTGCAGTACAAGGGGTGTGGCCAAGTAGAGGGAGAGACGGCAGCAGCAGAGCAGACTGTGACAGTTATATCAGCATGAATATTGAATCGGCAGTATCTTTGGCTTTGATTGTCAGATAAGGTGCGGATATGTATTCAAAAGTAGTCATTGCTGTTATATTCTTGGTATTATGTTCTTATTTCAGTTAAATTAATCTTGATTTTAGTGGTTAAAAGGGAACTAAAATGTGTGATATATGCGTTATAGATGGACAAGCCTAAAATAACCATGCCGGTAATGAGGAACAGATTAGCCAAAAAATGTATCCCAATCCTCCAAGCATTTTTTCTCCCAACCTCCTTGTTATCGAAGCTCAACTGAGTAGCTACCCTCAGCCACGCTGCGAATCGAACACACTGTCTCTGCCTCCACCTCCACCAGGATTTCTGTGCTGATTGAACATCCTGCTTTTCCTATTCCCCTGTGTAACTGAACAAGCAGTAAACAGGAGCCCTATAGCTTAGTTGTGGGTTTGATCCGAGGCAAGGGTGGCCAACCCTGTTCCTGGAGGGCTGGTTTTTGTTCTCACCGCCCACTTCAGACCCAAGAAACCAAGTGCGGTGAGTTATCTGTGTAACCAACTGCTTTAATTGATCAGTTAAGCTCAGAGTCACACCAAAATCCAGCGGACTTCATAGCCCCCCAGGACCAGGGCTGGCTACCGCGATCCAAGGGGACTACATACACTGAAAAATGTGTTCTTTCATATACCGTATGACACATTGGATGAAAGATTCCACAAAGAAGCATTTCATATTGTACTGCTGAGTGAGTACACAGAAGGAGTGTATCACAAATTATGGTCAACAGGACAGGGAAACTCTGGCATATTTAGACCACAGAACAATAGATCATGCAATACAATCCCTTTGCTCTCTAAAAGAAACAGCTGATAATTTAAATTTTTTTTTTTTTTTGCATTTAAAGAGACTCCACCATTAAAGATCCTTGTTATGTGTACAAGCTTCTTTCATTACTCTGTGTGCAAAATCCAAACTACGGAATTTGAAAACATGTATAAATTAGAATGTCAGTGAGTGACAGAAGACATATAATGAAGAGCATAAATATGTTTGGGTATATGGCCCTCATTTATGTAATCTTTATTCATTTTTTCTGCTTTGGTTTCTGTTTCCAGTCATTGTCATCAGAACTGAGCATGTGCGAATCTCAGACACAGGAGTACAAATACCAGATTGAGAGATTGGATCACGAGCTGCAAAATGTCAAGAAGAAGTACCTCGCACAGAAGCGCAAAGAGCACCATTCCAGGTAAGATTGCTGCGAGGCGAGCTGAATCACGGCTTTGACTCTCCTCGAATGAGCTAGACGGGGGCTTCAAAGAACCGAGTTTGCCTCTGTGATACGGACAAGGTTGACCTTCAGTATCTTCATTGAGCAGACGCCAACTAGAGCGTTTGGCATCTCGAAAATGATTCCTCCTATATACATTTCAGTAGGATCAAACGTGCCACTTGTGAAGGCTAAAATCAGCGGGCTGGAAAATGGGAGCCCTGTCACTCGGTCCTTCAGCTCTGAGTACCATCCAGTGTCATCTTTATGCAGAAGATTATGCATTAATAAATGCCCAGCAGCATTATGTTCTTGAAACTAAAGAACAGGTTCTTCAAAACCGTATCTTTCATAAAATTCTCGTTCATCTGTTAAAGTGGTAATACTGGTCCTTGGATTTCCTCAGCGCCTCTCATCTGCACTCGAAATCCTGACATACGAGCACAACATCAGTTATAGAGTCACTGTAGTAGGCAGCATAATATATAAGCAATTTGGTGGAACAATAGTGAATAATCTAACACTTACGTTTACTTACATTTGAAAAGATTACTGCTTATACTTGGGTGTGAAATCCAATTATAGATAGAAATATAAGTTAGGAAACTTCCCCCCCTCTCTTCCATCCTCTCTGCCTCAGAACCTCTCAGATGGAAAAATATTGCAAGAAAAATCAATTCAAGACATATTAGGGGCAGAGGTGGCTATATTAATGTTCATTATCTGCCAGCCTGCTGCTCCCAACCCCCAAAACACATCCCATACACACATACATGCACACACCCACGTTTATACATACTGATAAATGCACCCAACTAGGCGCTACAACATTTATCATAACAACAAAGAGCTATAACAGCAAATATACCTTCCGGCTTCAGACATCTAGCTACAGATATGTAGCGGGAACAGCCTTTTATCTGAGATTATAGTTTAGTGAGGGTGCTACTATCAAGAATAGATTCATGAAAAAATGTCTGCTCTTTCTTTTGGATACCAGAGAGCTAGTAGCCATTTCTATGAAGGTTACGATGCAGGAATTTAGAGCCATTTTCTCTTAAGAATCCTTGCTGAGTTCAATGCTCTTTTATAAATGATCATTTTAAAACTTTGACTCCCATATAAATAGAGTGCAAGATGTAGCGGTGAGAGATAACAGTGTACTTTGATCTTCTGTAACACCGCATAGCACAAATCTATCCCATAAAATGTGTGCTTGTGTGTGTGTTCGTGCATGCATGCGTGCGTGCGTGTGAACATACATGTGTCCTTGATTGTGTTAATATGTGAGTATGCTCTTTTTTTTTAATATTCAGGAATACGGACTGAAGTTGAAAGTGCTCCATTGTCACTGACGCATGTGCTATGTAGTAATTGAGAGCTGAAAAACACACCATTACAGACAGCAAACATTTCTTTGAAAGTTTTAAAATGCGATGGAATACGCCTCAGGCGAGGAAAGTCAGTTGAGTACGTTTCCATTATTGATTTTTTTCAGCTGTGCTGCGGTCCCTGCACACTGCTCAGACATATTAAAAAACATTGGGTAAAATACTGTGTGACAGATTCAGTTGACAGGTTTTCACAAACTTAGTCTTAACTAAAAGTACACATGTTGTTTGTTCTTCATTGCAAACAGAGAATAGCATTTAGTCACTTGGTGTCTGTAATAGCATTTAAAAATACTCTGGGGACATAGTTTACCAAGCTCAGCAATTATTAAAACAAGTTTGATAGTCAGTGTTTGTGAAGTACAGCTGTTATCCCAATTATTATGCATTATCAAAATTAAGTCCAAATGTTAACAAAATGTAGGACATTAATTTATTGCCTTAATATTTCTGAACTTGCAACAAAAATGGACGCTTTCACAACAAATGGTAAAATGGACTTACATTTGTCAGATATCTAATTTTGATTGCCGTAGAAAAATCTACAGTGCTGTTTGCTGTGTTAGTTTAAATGGTAGTACTTAAAATAAGGTACACAAAATTTCCTTTGTTTTCTGGGGACGAATAAGGAACTAACTGCTTGTAAACCATTAGTTAATGGGCAGTTCTTGTGGAACCCTAATCAAGTTGTTTGAAGTAGCAAATAATTACTTAATTGAATAACAAATGAGGTTACGACTGAGGAACCAACTCCTTGTAAAACCTATAGTTGATAGACAGACTGTGAGTAACTTCTCATCGAATTTTACAGAATGGCTGATGATTTGATGGAAGAACAAATTAGGAACCAACTGTGGCAATACTTTACAGTAAGGTGCACAAAATTGGCTCGTGTGAGATTAGTAGCACCCCGCCTGGAAAGTGGATAAGATCAGGCGGCAGCAGCAGGGGATGATGACAAAAAAAACTGACGTCTAGTCAGACTGTTTCCAGCAGCCTTCAAAGAATACACAGGAAGTCACAGAAACATTTTACATCCTGGTAGATCCTTTTTTTGGCTACTTGTAGCTTTCAGAGTGGTAGACCACATTCATATAGAGCTGCATGGCTGAAGGTATCTTGCATGTTTTCATTATTATCCGCTGCAAGAGATTTGTTTGTGAATAGATGAAACATTCCTTTCACAGTATGAGGCTAATACAATCTATCATACGATATTAAAATTACACAGAAAATTCGGGTTTCCTTCAAAATGTGGTGTTTGTGGTCAAAAATAAGAGCCAATCAGCTCTTTGAACAGTAGACAGCCAGGTCATCCCCGTCATGTCCGGATCCTTGCAGTTGGCGGAGAGCAACTGTGGCACCTGGCTCTAAAAACTCCAGCCCTTCCATCTAGTGGAGTTACTTTTGGCCGCATATGCATGAAACCAGAACAAGTTTGAATGAAGTCGGACACAAATCTATCTGGCATGCATTGTGCGGTGGTCACTGGTGATTGATTCTGCACAGGCCTGGCTCACCAAGAATGAACCTATTCATTTACTAGTAGTTAGTTCCTCATTTGCTCCACATTTTTTCCTTAACTGACCAGTCATTAGCTAATCTACAAAATTTGATTTTGAGTTTCTCACAAACTAATGGTTTAACTAATGGTTTCTTAGAAATTACTTCCTCACTCATTCTTTAATGAACTTATCTTTAACTACTTCACATAAAACAAGATTAGCAGTTACTCAAGAACTGCCTTTCAACAAATGGCTTACCAGCAGTTAGTTCCCCATTTGTTCCCTGGTAACTACTCAAACTTCGTGGACATTATCGTGAAGTGTTACCGTTTAAACATTAGGATGCTATCTGCTCTAGCTTTTCTGTATCTTTTGGCCAAAAAGTGGGGACATCCCTTGAGCACCAAGGTTTTTTTATTACTTAAATCATTGCTTTTCTGAAA